GCCATAGTGGCTCAGCAAAATGCAATTGAAATAATAGGTTGAAAAAATGTACAGCAGTTATTCGGAAACATCTTTCCCTCTTCTCATATTCCTTCTAAAGTAAATATGTCATAGTACTATTCTATAAATAGAGGTACTTACCATTAGTAGGGGTTTGCAATTATATTTATTATTTTAATGGGAAGAAAAATAAGATGTATTTATTCCCAAATTTTTACCCAAGCCAGTCTTATTATTTTGATTGGATATCGGTAAATATAAAGTGGAAAAGGCACTAAGAGTCTAACTCCCTAGTGTTCAGCATGCCTAATTATAAATGTTGACCTTCTATGCCAGGCATCGGCTTGGTTCTTTCTACAGTCATTCGGTTGACACTGACAAAGCCAATGTCAGTAATTACAATTCTCAGGAAAATAGAAGCTTCTGGCCTCAATTATCTGCATAATTCAGTCCCAATGGTATATGCTGGATTCCTATATTAGCCCAGATACTTTGTTGGGTGCTGTGGAGGACACTAAAATAAATAAGACTGCATTTCTAACCTTTGAAGAATTTGTTCTCTTATTTCTTCTTGCTGATGCCTCCTTTCGACTTCAAATCCATGTGGCAAAAATTTAAGTCATATGAACCAGAACTTACTGAAAAGTAATACTCATTCTCATGCCTGTTCCAGCTCATTGTAGTTTCGCCAAAGACAAACAATATCATTATTCTCATATGTATCTTTTTCTGTTGATAGCAACATCATGTATGTAATGGAAAATCAGCACCATCCATATTATGCCATGCCATGAGCTAGTTCCTGGATTCTATCTTATTTTCAATTTACACCTCTTTTATGTCTGAACTCATGAATGTAAATACTATCAACAATACAGTGATATGTCTGAACCTCTAGACATAAACTCTTCCTGGAATTTTCAGCTTATCTATTCATATCTATTGTACATGTCAAATTGAAGTCTGCTAGGTATCTCAAACTGAATCCAAAAGTGGTTGATTCATGTCCTCTCAATTTGCAGTGAATAAATAAAAGCATCCTTAGCCTAGAAGTAGTGGCTCATCTATTCTAGGTACGCACTTGATTGTGTTCTGTATATATCCCTAATACCTAGTTTCCTTTATACTTTGGGTAAGCCATTACAAACGTTCTCCCTTAGTTTATTGCTCCCTGAAGAATAAAAATTAAAGGAAATAAACAAACCAACTAAACGTATCTTCTTAATGCAAGCCCACCTTGAGAGTTTCAATAAGCACTACCAACTGATTATTATTCAGGGATAAATGAGAACAAAGGAGAATGTAAGAAGGATGAAAGGAAACTCTATGAGGCATCTTTTGTGCTGCTAGGGATAAGACTTCTCTTGTTTGTGAATTTGTTAATAAAAGCTCTAAAGTCTGGGGAAATGCTTCCAGACAGCAAAAGCCAAGTTTTGAAGCTCACAGGTCAAAGGAGAAATTAATAGAATGCAGTGGAGAAATTAAGTTAAACAAAGGTGCAATGAGCCATAGTTAAACCAATTAATTAGGCATGTTTTATTTTGTAAATAACTGGGTTGCTGAAGAAGTAAAAATAAATCCTAGATTTTAAACATGAATAATTTAGTATTCAACAAAACATTAAGTGGTAACATGCAGAAAACTCATGCCTTTTTTTTTTTTTTTTTTTTTTTTTTTTTTTTTTTTTTTAGTGTTATTTGATGAGTTTCTTCCTCATTCATATGCTTCTTCGGGGACCTTTCTTTTTTCTATCATTTGTGAAAAAACAAAACAAAACACTATGCTTTCAATAACATACGATAGTCTTATGTTTTGCTTGAGTCTCTTCTGCATTCTTTTTTTTTTTTAAGATATTTTATGGATTTTTTACAGAGAGGAAGAGAGAGGGATAGAGAGTTGGAAACACCAATGAGAGAGAATCATCCATCAGCTGCCTCTTGCCCACCCCCTGCTGGGGATGTACTCGCAATCAAGGTACATGCCCTTGACCGGAATTGAACCTGGGACCCTTCAGTCTGCAGGCCGATGCTCTATCCACTGAGTCAAACCGGTTTCGGCTGCATTATTTTATGCCTGTAAAAACTTTATCACTTTCTTGCAGTATTAACTATAAAAATATTAACTTTTCAGCAGTATGTCTACCATTTCTCAGGCCATGATGAAGATTAACTTGTACCTGACGCCTGGCAGGTATGAGGAAGAACAGGTCAGATGCCAAAACCCCAGACAAGGTAGTCACACCAATTAAGCTTCAGTTCTGAACTTAACACTTAAGCACAATAGATCCTGCACCAGATAACGTATCTTCAGTTTCCTCCACTGTAAAAATGTTGTACACGTTAAATATATTTGAAAATTCCTGAGCACAATGACTGGAAGGGAAATCTCTCAATTTGATGAAAATATTAATATTACAAAGCAGTTTCCAATTTGTGGATGTCATCTTACTGCCAAAATTGCTTGTTTGGAACTTTAAACATTTATTTCCACCAATAAGATGTTTTAAAACCACAATGAAATGGTTAGTAGAATGTAGGTTTATAGACTAATGTCCCAAACCTTCAATTACCAAAACATTATTTCAGTCCAGAATTATCCTAATAGTGCTCTGGCCGGGTGGCAACCTTGACCTGGTTTTCCCTTGACTTTCCTAGTTTCCACATTGCAAGCCCCTCATTCTGGGAAACCCTTTGATCCCAGACAAATCTAATCAGGATTTCTTCACTTGGGACCAAATCACCATTCATTCACTCATTCATTGACCCATTCATCTATTTTTCTGCAGCACCAGGTACACTCTTAGGTGCTGTAGGGAAAAGGGCCAAACATGCTTACTAACCCCAGAGCCCATGAAGGAGACTGATGAATGAACAGCTAAATGCTAATGATGTAAGTATGTCCAGGATGCCAGGGACACACAGGGGCTGGCCACTTCACACTAACTTGTGGATTAGGGAGACTTCTCAGAGGAGCTGATCATTAAACTGGAATTTGAAATTGATACTCCCCAAACCAGAGATTTCTACTTCATTCTTTTGGACATTTTTCATGTCTGAGCTCAGCATTACTTAAATATGCATACTAAAATACTATCGTTTTAGATTCACTTTGGTCATTATCTAAACAGATTTTGCATAATTTCTAACATGCATGTAATTTGTGTGAAATGTCATCAAAATCCTATATAATAAAAGGCTAATATGCAAATCGACGGGTGAAACAACTCGTCACTATGATGCGCACTGACCACCAGGGGGGCAACTGCTCAATGTAGGAACTGCCCCCTGGTGGTCAGTGTGCTCCCACAGGGGGAACACCACTCAGCCAGAAGCCGGGCTTTAGCTGGCGAGTGCAGGGGTGGTGGCAGAAGCCACTTCTGCCTCTGCTGCAGCGCTAAGGACTGCGGGAGCAGACCTAAGCCAGCAGGCAGACATCCCCTCGAGGGGTCCTGGACTGGGAGAGGTCGCAGGCCAGGCTTAGGGCCTCCTCCCCCAGTGCAGGAATGTCATGCACCGAGCCTCTAGTGTGAATATAAATAGCCACACACCCTTGATTTTATATCAGTTCTTCCCACTCTGGAGATTCAGCTAGTTAAAATCTACTCTTAAGAATGCTAATTGCCTGCTTGCTTTCTCATTATTTGAAAATCATTGCCCAAAGAAAATTATTGGAACATGTTTAATTGAAAACAAAACATAGATTATAATAAATAATATGGTTCTATTCAGAATAATGTAGTGGTTGCCCCAAAGTTAGCAAGTTAAACATGTTTCCTAAAGCTTGTTATCAAGGAAATGGCATTCTATTCTTTATACTCTGATAACTTGTAAAATATTCCTGAACATGCCTCTATCATTACAGCAAATGCTGCAGCAAGATGATAAGACAGAGACAGCTTACAGCAGGAAACTCTGAGGCCACAGGCACTGACTAACAGCTTGAAGATTTGGTTCTCCACCTGGAGGGAGAAGCAGATTTATCACAGACTCTGGAGGTGAGAGGGGGACTTATTTTTAGACAGATTAGACCTTATGTTTCCTGGGAGGCAGAGACCACATCTATGTTACTCACTGATGCTTTCCCAGTGCTTGGGACAAAATTCATGCTCAAATGGTTGAATAAATACCAAAATATATGTAAAGGTCTTCATTCTGTATTCCTAACAAATGATCATTCAGAATCTTCTATGCTCTAAGGTAGGGGTGTCGAACTCAATCAAAGAAGGGGCCAAAATCTAAAATCCAGCCTAAATCGCGGGCCGAATGGTTTACTGAACAGTCATAAACTGTCATTGTGATGGAAACGCAGCGGAGTGCAGTGATGACAGAGCGGTGCGGGCCACATTGCAAGGCCTGGCGGGACGGATTTGGCCCGCGGGCCTTGTGTTTGACACATGTGCTCTAAGGACTGAAAAGAAAAAAAAAACCCTTACCATACATGACAATCATAACCATCTTTGCCAAGTGAGGCAGCTTAAGTTTCAAAGTCAGTTAGTTACAGCACAGACCAAAGCCACCCATTGTTCTGTAAAGGCCAGTTGATGTCACTCTCTTCCTCACCCTCACACTATGTATTTCATCTTGGCTAGTAACCTTTCAGGTATTTACAGTATTTTTCTAAAAATACTCATGTGCTTGAGAAGAAATTCTCCTTGTCATAGTAAAGATATCTAACATCATGCTCTCCGTAGAATATGGACCAAAAGCATCAATTTAAAGACTTTTCAATTGCAATCATCATCTATCTTAAGCCCCACAGAGATTACAAATGTATGTCAGATCTTATTGACATGACAATCTTCATAATTTTGAGCAAGCAGGTAAAGGAAAAATCAAAAATTTCCACGTGTAAGCATTTTCTTAATGCTTTTTGTTCATGGCATTTTTTGAAATTATATATACGCATGATAATCAACACACCTGGCACAGTTAAAATTTAATGGAAAAGCAGAAGCAGAGAGTCTTTTAAAATTCAAATTTTTTTGTATTATTTTTCTTTACCTTTGAAGTTTACTACACCAACTGCAGTTGAAGCCAATCTGAGAGGATACACAGGGGCCACAACCATTGAACTGGAGGCACGCTAGGAAACAGGAGAGAATGCAGTCATCCAGACTAATTGGGAGGATGGAAAAATCAACAATAATGATGCCTCAGTCAAAATAAAAACCAACCACCCATCCCTGTATTCATGCAAGATACCTGTCCATGTCAAGCACCATGTTATTATTATTGGTGAATAGACCAGGTCATCAAACTTGTAAATCATTTCCCACTTATTATAGTTATGTTCAGACATTAACTTACTAGGTAATGGGGTCATCTCCACAGCTGAAATGTTGGTAATTTTTGACATTTGTAACTCTACTCGGTGGTATTCATAAATTGTTCTTCTTCGAACATCTATAAAAACAAAAATGGGGGGAAATCAACTTTCCACATTTCTTTACCTATAAAACAAGTATTTTAATAGTGAATGTAGAATTATACTTTTACTTTGTGCATTCTTAAAACTAAAGATTTAAAATAGCAATCCCTCTGAAGAGATTGATTATTAAAAAAACAACAACAATAACAACAACAACAACAACAAAAACAAACCTAAAAATCATGTCCCCATGTTCCCAGAAGATTTTTTTATCAATAAAGTTAAAAATGATGATTAGGGTCTCAGATATCTCACATTGATAGATGGGTTCCAATTCATTGTTACCCAGAGCTTACCTAAGACAATTTTTTGATGGATTCATTTTTTTAAAAGTATTTTAACATATTAAGTCAAGAAGGTAAGAAAACAGACACCATTTGACTGAAACTAATGATAAAGTAAGTCCTTTAAGAATAGATAGAACTTAATTTTTTTATAGCCTAAATGAAGTTGTTTTTTGCCAAAATAAGAATCTTAGTGCTTTAAAGATTTAGAATAAAGTCCTTTAATGAAAAGAAAAATGGAACTGAAACCATTATGAAATCAGTATTGCTCTTCATTAAATATACAGTATCACATCTAAGAAAGGTTAATAATACTTATATTGCATGCAGAAATTTATAATTGATCAGCAAATTCAGAAGTGTCCCTGAGGAGATTTGACAAGAATTTTAATAATTAAAAGTCAGATAAATATAAGAAAGCATATTTTATAAAGTAATAAGCCTGTTTATAAAATATATTTAAAATACATTTTTAATAAAAGATCTGAGCCTTCTACTGGTAAGTCTGCCCGAGTCAGGTAAATTTCAACAGAAAAGCAATGTCATCAGCATTTTATTTAGCTTTTGGAATACTTGTAATGACTGAAATGCATTTCCAGAATACTGTCAGACTGTCAGGGATTCCTTGGGATGATTTAAGTTATTTTTCAAGTATCATAACATCCAAGCTTGGGGAAGTAATATGTCACAGTGGTTAATAGTATATGAGACTGTTAAACAGTGTTTTCACTTCAAATCTCTGTGTTTCACTTGGTATCTGTGTGATGTTGGGCTCCTTTGTAAGTCTCTTTGTGCCTCAGTTTCTCCATTTATAAAACATTATTGAGTTGCTTTGAGAATTAAAATCCTATGTAGTAAAGAGGAAATATGCTAATTGACTGCCATACCCTCAAAGATGGCAGCATCCACAGCCAATAAGGACAGAATATGCTAATTGACTGTCATGCCCTTATAATGATAGTGGTGCCCACAGCCAATAGAAGGGGCTATGCTAATTGCTGCCACACCATCAAAGATGGCAGCACCCACAGCCAATAAGGAGGGAATATTCTAATTGGCTTCCATACCTTCCAAGATGACAGTGTCCCCGCAGCCACAAGATGGCGGTGCCCAGTCCCCTCAGCCACCCCCCCTCCAGCTCCCCAGGGCCAGCCTGGCCCAGGCAAGCCTCAGATGGTGGCTGCCCAGTCGCTCAGAGCCACCCGAGGTCAGGTAACAGGGCTAGCAGAGGCTTGCACTGCAGGCAGTGTCAATAGCAGAGGTATAAGGTGGGTGTCACCTTCCCCTGATCACTGGGTTTCCATCTGTCCCTGAGGGCTCCCAGACTGTGATAGGGGGAAGGCTGGGCTGAGGGACCCTCCCTTCCAGTGCATGAATTTTCAATTCCTATCAAGGGCATGTACCTTGGTTGCAGGCTAGATCCCCAAGTGGATGTGGGAAGCAACTAATTGGTGTGTCTCTCTCATATTGATGTTACTCTCTGTCTCTTCCACTCTCTCTAAAAGTCAGTGGAAAAGTATCTGGGGATGTGGCTTAACAAACAAATAAATAAACCAATGAAACAATTCCTTTTACATGGCAAGTGCCCAATGGTGTCAGATATAATCTTTGTCTGTCTTCAGTATGGCAACCTGTACTGATTATATGTTGCATATAATGGTTTAAATTCTGTAGCTCTAACCTCAATGAAACTACACTAAGGCCCTGAAATTGGCCTTCTAAGAATTGTCTGCCATCTTACCTTAGAGAGAGTTCAATTTTGATTAAAGTCTACAAACCCAACAATGATTTCCTTTAGGACATAAAGCAGAAATAGCGTGGTGCTTCCGGAGAGCCAGCTGGCTTTTAGTACAAGTGTTTAGGAAATGCGGATACATACACATCCAGGAGGGAAGTCAAACATCTGCTTACACCCTACTTCTCTCCATTCATATCTTTCCACACATTTCTGATCATTCACTATGAAATTCTGTCCAGAGGAGCAAGAAGGTGGGTGTGATCCCCAAATAAACTCTTTTGGGGCTAGGAGTGATTCTAGAGCCACTCACTGAATATATCTTCAGGTTTATCAGATTAGAAAACACAATCTAGAACCCTAATCCAATTGATTTCTTTTTGATGTAAGTAAAAGATGCATATATATATATATATATATATACTTTTCAAAGTATAAAATATATCAAACTTTAGAGAACATGCTGACTTCATGGTATTTAGTAAGGATTCACAAGGCACATGAGTCATGTCTTTTTCCTTTTTCTTTTTTTAAATCCTAACCCAAGGATATTTTTCCATTGATTTTTAGAGAGAGTGGAAGAGAGGGGGAGAGAGAAATATCGATGTGAGAGAAACACATTGGCTGCCTCCTGCTTGTGTCTTGACCAGGGCCAGAGCCAGGGAGAAGCCCAAAAACTGAGATATGTGCCCTTGATGGGAATCCAACCAGGGACCCTTTGGTCCACAGGCCGACACTCTACCCACTGAGCTAAACCAGGTAGGGATTTTTTTTTTTCCTTTTAAGGCATATAAAACATTACTCAGCTTCTGCCTTTGTCTAAATAGGATATGGTCCTATACACTGCTTTACCTTGTATCATGCTAAACAATTTGCTCCTCAGAAATAAACAAATGACATGGCTTCGCCACTGAGATGAAGATTTTGAGTATTCATACTAAAGTTTGCACAGTATCTGTCATATTAGTCGATGCTTAAAATACTAGTTGTCTTTTGATTTCATATTATACTTTTAAAATATATATATTTTATTAATTTTTTTACAGAGTGGAAGGGAGAGGGATAGAGAGTTAGATACACCAGTGAGAGAGAAACATCGATCAGCTGCCTCCTGCACACCTCCCATTAGGGATGTGCCCGCAACCAAGGTACATGCCCTTGACCGGAATCAAACCCAGGACCCTTGAGTCTGCAGGCCGACGCTCTATCCACTGAGCCAAACCAGTTTCAGTTCATATTATACTTTGAGGAGCTCAAACTATTATACTAACGTAATGACTGGGAAGCCTCGAGGAGTTAATTATTGATCATGCATATGGGTAAAGGGAAAGAGTTCTATCCCGGCTCAGATACCTCCAACTATGGGGAGGTGATTAACTTATCGAAACCAAAATTAGTGAGAATAACTTTTATTTGATGACCTGCCAATTAATGACAGCTTCCAAATGGTCATTTCTGTTGCATTTCAGAGATACCACTGTCAATGACAAGTAATTAGGAATCTATTTACTCGTAGCTCCTGCCAATGCTAGAAGCTTTCATTTGATTCCAGGAATGAATGTATTTAGCCCATGTGTTTTGTTTAGAAAGTCAGACAAAATAATGCACCAAACATTCAGTCACAGCTTCTATTCTTCCATACAACTTTACAAAATCAAGATTCACTGTAATGCCCATTAAGAGCTTTTAAAAATAAAAAAAAATAAAAATAGATCTCTGAGCGGACTAACAGAGAATAAAGTTCAAGTTCAGAAATAAAAATCTTCAGGGAATGTGATTCAGAGTGTAACTGTTGAATGACATTCTTAGAAATTCTGAGCAATATCTGCCGGAGAAACAGAGTAATCATATGGAAACACCAGGAAACCTTTCCAATCAATAGTCACTCTAGTCAAAATAAACACATTTAATGAGTGCACTGTGGCATGGTTAGCTATGATCAGTTTACTAACCTGCCTTGAAAGCTCACATTCACATAGAAAATGTCTGAGTAATTTCCTGAACTGGCTGATTCTTATATTTATATAAATATTATAACACTTTGTATTATCATGTAAATTATCTGCTAACATTTCCTTGTTTTCGTGTTGCCAATGCTTAATGACTGGCCCTGAAGATTATTTCTTATTTTCCATTCTAGTTCCAATTGAGTCTTCCACACAATATAATTACTGAACACTTCAATGTAAATAGCATATATCTCACAATTACAATTTTATCCCCAGCATAAAGACTCAGGGGGGAAAACCACAACACAGACTCTTGAGAAAAGGGGTACACTGTTAGAGCAATTATAAGCTTTCCACACAAAAATGCAGTGCATTAACAAAATTAGCTAGTTGTGGGTGTTAAAGCACCTACAAATAGAAGATGCTTTTGCCCCAAACTTTTAAAAACCATTTCCTCTATAGTTCTAATTCTATTAGGTGGCAATATAATTCAGCATTGGATAAGGCAACATAAAATGTAAGTGACTATGAAGTGCCCATCTCACCCTGTTAGATGTTCCTTCCTCTCATCATTTCCTCACTGCTTTCAGAGTTTCAAGGCACTGCTAAAACCTAGTGGCCAGATTTTATGAGTTACTTGAGCATGCGTACAAAAAATCAGAAACTTTAAAAACGATCTTTGCTTTTGTTCTCCTTCCACATATATTTACTAATGGCTTAAACAAGATGCATGTCTTGAACTCCTTCAGAAATCACTTTGCCCAAGGATCAGGAAAGTAAGCAGTCAATGTGTTGGGCAGTGGGTTGGTGGGCTGTGGACTGCAGGCCTGCCTGAAGCCCTGGATCCCATTGGCTCAGGGACTCTTGCTCCAAGAGAAACAAAAATTGAGACTTTATTAAATAAAGTTGGATGAAGTGCAGTACAATTTATTTTAAAATCAAGGTTTTGAAAACCTTTTAGTGTTTAAATCATTCAGAAGCTTGGCACTTAGATAAGAAAATGAACC